GTGACAGGGATAGGGAGGGGTAGTGACAGGGATAGGGAGGGGTAGTGACAGGGATAGGGAGGGGGTGACAGGGATAGGGAGGGGGGTGGAGGGGGTGACAGGGATAGGGAGGGGGGTGTATGGGGATGGAGGGGGTGACAGGGATAGGGAGAGGGTGACAGGGATAGGGAGGGGGTGACAGGGATATTGGTTGGTTAGTCTGGTAGTTGGATGTGAGGGTGCTGTCACTGTGTAGGTGGGGCCGAATGGCCTGCCTTAGTGAGAGTGGGTTGAGATGATGTTGAAGTGGGTGAGTCTGACCCAGGCTGGAGGGGACTCAGTGGCATGCACTGCCTTTACCCACCTCCCTCTGTCGTCTTCCTGTTTGCAGGTGACAGTTCTGTTTGCTGGGCAGCACATTTCCAAGAGCCCTTTCGAGGTGACCATTGGCAAGGCACAGGGCGATCCCAGTAAAGTCACTGCCCAGGGCCCGGGGCTCGAGCCTGTAGGCAATGCTGCCAACAAGTCAACCTACTTTGACATTTACACAGCAGGTAAGATCGATTATCATCCCATTAGCTCGATCCCTCAACCTGTCCTGATACCTGATGGCATGGTAGGATCCCATTCAGCCCAGGGGGCTGGTATCAGTCCTTTGCAAGTCCCAAATCAATGTTTTGCAATCTTCCGCCTCTGTCAATGATTTTGTACCCTCTCTGATTATAATTACCCTGCCCCGCCTCACTTTCTCCAAATTCCAAAATAATCTGTATCCGCCAGCACTTCCAGACAGCGGGTTCCAGATCACAGCAACATTCCCCTTGATCCCATCTCACCCTCTTGTCCTTTATCCCATTCCCCCTCAATCCGTCTCCCCCTCGATCCACCTCCCCCTCTAACCTGCTCCCCCCTCTGGTTTTTGTATCCCGTTACCCCTCGATCCGTCTCCCCCTCTGGTCCTTTATCCCGTTTCCCCTGGATCCACCTCCCCCTCCTCTCAACTCACTCCTTGATTGAAACTCTCTTTAACTCAGCCTTTAATATATTTGCTGACCCTGCCTGCAGCCCCATGCTCTCTGTTGAGGAGAGAATTCCAGAGAGTCCCCTTCCACCCCTGAGAGAAGACATTTCTCTTCCTCTCCATCTGAAACAGGAGGGCCCTCATTGTGAAACTGTGACCCCCTTCCATTCTAGGCTGCTGCCCCAACAAGGGGAGAGAACACACTCTCAGTCTGCACTCTTCCTGTCTAACAGGGGGTGGGTGGGGGTGTGGGGAGCGCGAGAGCTTGCTAATGGCTTCCCAACTCTCTCTCTATCACCTGTTTCATTCCCACATTTCTCTTCTTGCCCTCTCTCCCCCCTCCCCTTCTCTGCCTCTCCTCCCCCTCCCCCTTCAACTCTCTACCCCCTCAACCTCCCTCTCTCAACACTCACCCACCCTCTCTCTCTTTCTCTGTC